GCTGACACTTTTTCAAGAAGGCGGCGTCTGGATTGAGTCTCCCGAGGGCAGCGTGCCGGCACCTGACAATCCGTCACTCAAAGGTGTGGTTATGTCTGTGCAGCCCGGGCCATGTTTTCTGGATGCTCAAATTGCACATGCAACGATGCCTTGGAAGGGCAAACGTATCCTTTTGGTGGGCTTCACGCCGAATGGTGCTTGGGAGGACGCGGCCAGAGCCAAGGTACTCCTGGACTTGGGTTTTGTGCCACCTTCAGGATTCCATTTGCCCAAGGCCGTACAAGAAACACCTTCGAACCTTCCTGTCCCTCACCCTGGCACCCCGGACGGAGGGCCCATCCGGTCGGCGATAGACCCACCCGTGCCTAAGCCTTCGAGAGTGCCGTATCTCTTGGAGCTCTTCTGTGGGTCTGCAGGGGTTTCTTCGGCGTTCATTCGGCTTGGGGGTGAGGCTTTGGGTATTGACCGATGCTTGCTGCCCAGGTCGATCAAGGCGCCGTGTGTTCGTTTAGACCTCACCCGTGCAAGTGACCAGGCTTTGATTCTTGATGAAGTTCGCAGGGCCGATATTATCTGGCTGGCACCCCCGTGCGGGACATGCTCGAGGGCTCGCGAGATACCACTGAGGGCTTCGTCGGGCGCCTCAGGCAAGCTCAAGGCTGAACCTTTGCGCAGCGCAGCATGTCCCGAAGGCTTCCCAAACCTTTCAGGTGTGGCTGGACGCCGGGTGCGCCTGGCAAACCAGCTGTACATGTTTACGGCCCAGGTTGTCGAGCTGTGTGTGCGTCAGGACAAAGTTTGCGTGATCGAGAACCCGAGCCGGTCCTGGTTCTGGTCCACTCGATGGATAAAGCCGTGGGTAGCCCGTTTGCACTCCCTGCATTCCCACGCCTGCATGTATGGTGCTGACCTGAAAAAGGCTACCAGACTGCTCTCCACGCATCAGCTACCCTCCATGCAGGCCACATGCGACGGGGCCCACGCCCACAAGTCGTGGGGCCTTACCAAAAGTCGGGGGCAGTGGGGTTTTCGCACCACGGGCACCGCTGAGTACCCCAGTGCTTTCTGCAAGGCAGCTGCTTCAGACTTCATGGAGATTTGTGCTTCGCGTAACGCCTTTCCTGCCCAAGAGGTCGTGTCTGAGGCTTTTGGAGTGGCTGCCGCTGCCGGGCGACAGCCTCGGGGACAATCGTTCCAGGTCGGGCCGTCTGAGTTTGGCTCTACGTGTACAATGCGTGTACCTGTCAGTGTGTCTGTGTCCGAAGTGATCGACGGCCAAACACCGTGGCCACTGCAAGGCCTGCCTTTGGGGTCTCGACTCCTCAACTCTCGGACAGTGACAGGTGAAGGGGGGGAGGAAGGTGTCCGTGAGGTCAAGTTTGGAATCTTTCGCACACCAGATTCTTTCTTGCGTGAAGCTTTAAAGATGCGCCATCCCTTCGATGAACCTTCAACTTCGGACATGGGTAATATTCGTGCTATGCAAGTCGTCTTGGAGAGGGGTGTGGAAGGCACTAAGACCCTTCGGCAGAAAACTCTTGACTATTACCGGCGGAGAGAGCTTGAGCTTCGGTCCGATGAAGAGGCTCTCAAGGCGACTATGGACCACAGGTGCGAGAGGTGATGACCGGATAGAACCTTCTGTTGTTCCAGGAGATGGCTCGCGATGCAGGGGTGGAGGACCCTTATCTCTTTGAGGACCTGACTCGGGGGTTCCGTTTGATAGGCTCGCTGCCGCCGTCTGGACAGTTCCCAAAGAAGCTCAAGCCTGCCGTCTTGGACGAATCGCAGCTGAAGCATCGTGCAAGAAAGCATCTCCAGACTTGGATGTGGCCAGGGCAGTGTGGGCCGAGACGCTCGAGCAAGTCGAGAAATCTTGGATGAAAGGGCCGTTTTCTTGGGCCGAGATCGAGAAAAAATATAATGGCTGCTGGATTCCTTCGAAGCGCTTTGGTGTGGCCCAGTCAGACAAGGTGAGGAGTGTGGATGACCTCTCAGAATTTCTTATCAACTCTGCCGTGACGGAGACAGAGAAGATTACCTTGGAAGGCATTGATCATATCGTTTCCTTGGCGCGGTTCTTCCTAGGGGCCACGACGGCTGGGGTTACGACGTTTCGCCTTCCTGCTTCCGAGGGGCAATGGGTAACTGGGAGGTTGCATTCCGACTGGCGGGGAGGCAGAGCTCGTCTTTTGCGAGGCAGGGCACTGGATTTGAAAGCCGCCTACAAGCAGCTCGCGCGTCACCCTAAGGATGGTTGGGTCTCGATCGTGGCCGTGCTCAACCCGGACTCCGGGGAGGTCAGCTACTTTGAGGCAGTGGCTCTGCCTTTTGGGGCAGTGAGCGCGGTCACGGGCTTCAACCGGGCGGCCCGGGCTTTGAGGCGAATCCTCTCGATTCTCTTCAGTCTGGTGACTACCAATTTTTACGACGATTTCTGCCAGCTAGAGCTCGAACCTTTACAGGAGTCTGCACGGGAGATTGCCGAAGAGGTCCTCGGGTTACTGGGCTGGAAGATCGCTCAAGGGGCTAAGGCCTTGCCTTTTGATCGAGTCTTCAACATGCTGGGAGCAACCATTTCCTTCGAACGCGCGGCCAAAGGAGATGTCTTGGTGAAAAACAAGCCAGGGCGCCTCGAGGCCATCGAAGAGGTGGTCATGCGGCGCGTGTCAGAGCGTCGGTGTGATCGGAAGAGAATGTTATCCATCAAGGGCAAGTTGTTGTTCGCTGCTGGTCACGTGTTCGGGCGGTGCGCCCAGTTGGCAACGCAACTCATTTCTCATCGGGGGAATGATCGCCACCAGGGCCGTGAGCACATGGACGATCTGCTCAATGCTCTGCAGTTTGCCTTGGAGACTCTTAAATCCGGTGGACCAAGGTGCGTGGGAGCTTGGTCGCAACAGCCTCCGGTGCTCATTTTCACGGATGGTGCGTGCGAGCAGGAGGGCAACCTGGTGACGCATGGGGCTCTCTTGTTTGATCCTGTGACAGGACGCAAGGAGGTGTTTGGCGATCATGTTCCCAAGTGCTTGGTGGAGAGATGGAAGGGTGGAGGCAAGAAACAGGTGATTTTCTTTGCGGAAATTTTTCCAGCGGTGGTGGCTAAGGCTACTTGGAAGGACGTTGTGCAAGGGCGTCGGGTTCTGTTCTTTCTGGACAACGAAGGAGCCCGGTTCACCTTTATCCGGTCCTACTCGGCGCAGGTCAATGCTACCGATCTCTTGATGATCTCTGCGAGGCTCGATGTCCAATCAAGGGCTTTAGGGCGGTACAGCCGGGTTCCCTCGAAGAGCAACCCCTCTGACGCTGCCTCTCGACTGGAGTTTGAATCCTA